GAAAACATAAACGACCACCGTGGGTTTATTGTACTACAAACACTGTTAGGTTTCTTTCCTAGCTTTCGAAATAAATAAATCATTCCTGATTCCTAATAAAACGAGATTTTTTTTTTTGAATGAACATTTAATCGTTTGTTTCACGATATAAGAGTCTGGCTAGTCAATCATCTGTTGACCACGACGTTTCGAATGCTATACTGCTAGTCTCCGTCGGGCGTGGAGGTGGAAAGTTTACGTGTCACCATTTATAGCACCTTGGTTAGATGTCATTGGTGGGTTTGGAGCGCCATCATTGATGCTTTTCGACCCACATTATTTCGAGTATCAGATGTTGTTCTCTCATTGGTCCGCATTGTTACTGATCGGCTGTTGTACTTTTTTGATAGCAGGCACCCACACTTGAAGAATTTCGATTTCGTTATCAGAATGATGTCTTATGTGAATGGCTTCTATAATCTTACGCGCGTACCAATAACAGCCATTATCAATAAAATTAACCTGGTGAAGTGTATTGAACCTGTTTTTTTTTTCCTATGGTTTACCGACGTGAACGTAACTGAGATACAGGGCGACTACAAAGATTCTTATTCTTTTCATACTGTTGGCTTTGGCAGCCAGCGCATTTGGGAGGCCAGTAGTAACGTCGGAGGAAAGAGAGATTGATAGTCATGAGGTACGTAGTCGTGCAGTTCTTAACATAAGGGCATGTCCATCTATTCCAGGAGAAGGATAAAAGAATTGTTAAGGATGGGCTTCTGAATTGGCTCAATTTGTCCGAAACTGTTTTGTTTTGTTTTTTTAACTTAACACCCCTCGAAGTGGATGATTATGAAGGCGCTGTGGAACTTTTGTAAACGCTGATGTCTCTGCTCTTTGCATTTTTGGCGAGGAAATAAGACATTAGTAATGCGCGTGCTCAATGAATGCACTTTATCTTTTGACGTCCCCAGATTCACTTGTTTTCACTTTTGTAATCAGTGACTATAAACTATCAACCGAAGTAGGGGTGGGTAGCAGTGGATTTTTAATCGTCTCAGTAACGTGAGTGTTCCACTTGAGGTTGTCTTGAAAATACACACCCAGTAATTTCACGACACTAACGGCACTAACCTTAGAGCCATTAATTTCTATGAGATCGTAGGAAGGAGGGGAGCGCACAAAGGAAACTCTTAGCTCATTACATTTTTTCAGATCGTGTTGAAACGAGTTGAGTGTTGACCACGTAGCTACTTCGTTTATCATAGACTGAGCATTGCTAGGACCACCCTTGCTTATCATTTCATACACTGTCGTGTCATCTACATATTTTGTACAATCACTGGCTGATGGTACTTTCAAATCGTTTATCATAACCAAGAATAGCCACGGTCCCAATTTTGTTCCCTGCGGTACTCCTGCTTGGACCGATCCCCACTCTGAGAGACAATCAAGTGCAAGTTCGACCCTTTGTTTCCTATCTTTAAGAAAGGCTATTATCCAATTAATGATGTAAGGGTTGATGTTGTAGGTCGAGAGTTAAGTAACACACCTCTAAATATTAACCAAGTTTGAGGTGTACACTCTAAGTACAGCCCAAGTCTTTTCCGCTTGGATTTATGGCCCAAGATCCCGGTGGGATAAAAAAAGGTTCCCTAATTAACTTATAAGTTAAAGTAGTTCAGACCAAGAAAACAAAGTAAGTAATATCATTAATTTTTTATATTACTGGGTTCAAATAGAGGGGGATCATTTCAACTCAACAAAATTTTTAATTTAGTGGGCTTTGGATAAAAAATTCAGCCCACTAAATAGTCCAATCATAACACACCTATTCAATGAGAGATACTGTTTAATAACCAATAAATAATAAATAATAAATTTGCAAAATCTTTTTTTAAGAAACTGACTGCTACATACTCACCACACAGTCTTCCCAGTAACAAGAGTTTGAATCTGCCAAATATTTCAAATCAAGTCAGACAAATAAGTTAAATAAGGGTACATTAATCACCTTTAATAGGTGATGTTTATCACTATAGAAGATGGCAATACTCAAGGAGACGAACGACAGTAAACGAAGCCATGCTTTTAATAACTCCTGAGGCATTCTGGGGAAGCCCCAAAAACTACTTCATATAACGGGTGAGATAAAATACAAATGGTGCCCTACAAAATAACAAACAGGGCTCAACACTAACTTTTCAACTTACTAGCCAAGTGGCATCTTAGTTGTTATGATAATTTCAGTTTGTTTACTAGCCAAACTGGCCAGTGGAAGTTCAAAACCACAAGTCAAAACTGAATGTCCACTAGTCTGTGGCTTAAATGGGCATAAAGGGGCCATAGATTTTCAACTTACTAGCCAAGTGGCATCTTAGTTGTTATGATAATTTCAGTTTGTTTACTAGCCAAACTGGCCGGGGGAAGTTGAAACCACAAGTCAAAACTGAATTTCTACTAGTCTGTGGCTCAAATGGGCTACCATTGGTGTCAATTAAGCCCTGAGAAAACTCAATTTAATCATAATGCACCCTAGCTACAAATATCTTTACTCCTAACCCTTGAAACCTGACAGAGACTAACATCTTATTTCTCCTTACAAAACAAACGGTACTTGCCATGACTTCCACATCTCTTGCTGTCAAATTCTTCACATATACACATGGGTTTTTCACTTCTGACTGCACAGTAGGATAGTCTGCTTTTCCATATATGTAACCCAGGGGTCTCTTTGTACTATCGTCTATTGAAGAGACATTTCTATCATACTGTTCTGGAGGAATTACTTTGAATTCCTTACAGTCACTCAGTTGTAAAGGTGACACTACATCAAGAAAAAAATGAAAAGGGTAAATAAAAATAGATCAGNAATAAGGGTACATTAATCACCTTTAATAGGTGATGTTTATCACTATAGAAGATGGCAATACTCAAGGAGACGAACGACAGTAAACGAAGCCATGCTTTTAATAACTCCTGAGGCATTCTGGGGAAGCCCCAAAAACTACTTCATATAACGGGTGAGATAAAATACAAATGGTGCCCTACAAAATAACAAACAGGGCTCAACACTAACTTTTCAACTTACTAGCCAAGTGGCATCTTAGTTGTTATGATAATTTCAGTTTGTTTACTAGCCAAACTGGCCAGTGGAAGTTGAAACCACAAGTCAAAACTGAATTTCTACTAGTCTGTGGCTTAAATGGGCTTAAAGGGGCCATACATTTTCAACTTACTAGCCAAGTGACATCTTAGTTGTTATGATAATTTCAGTTTGTTTACTAGCCAAACTGGCCAGTGGAAGTTGAAACCACAAGTCAAAACTGAATTTCTACTAGTCTGTGGCTTAAATGGGCTTAAAGGGGCCATAGGGGCCATACATTTTCAACTTACTAGCCAAGTGACATCTTAGTTGTTATGATAATTTCAGTTTGTTTACTAGCCAAACTGGCCGGGGGAAGTTGAAACCACAAGTCAAAACTGAATTTCTACTAGTCTGTGGCTCAAATGGGCTACCATTGGTGTCAATTAAGCCCTGAGAAAACTCAATTTAATCATAATGCACCCTAGCTACAATTTGGTGTCAATTAAGCCCTGAGAAAACTCAATTTAATCATAATGCACCCTAGCTACAAATATCTTTACTCCTAACCCTTGAAACCTGACAGAGACTAACATCTTATTTCTCCTTACAAAACAAACGGTACTTGCCATGACTTCCACATCTCTTGCTGTCAAATTCTTCACATATACACATGGGTTTTTCCCTTCTGACTGCACAGTAGGATAGTCTGCTTTTCCATAGATGTAACCCAGGGGTCTCTTTGTACTATCGTCTATTGAAGAGACATTTCTATCATACTGTTCTGGAGGAATTACTTTGAATTCCTTACAGTCACTCAGTTGTAAAGGTGACACTACATCAAGAAAAAAATGAAAAGGGTAAATAAAAATAGATCAGGGCCAGTCAGAGGAAGTTTTTGTATGGGGTTCTGCAGGGAGGCTGTGACAACCAAACTCGATGCCACTAATACAAGAATCATAACATCCCGGACCAACACTCAAGGTCTTAAAATAAGTGAGAAGAATTTGATACCTTTCTATAACATCAAGAAATGGTTAGATATTCTAGTCTTCTCGGATAGGGACGAATAAATGGAGGTCCCATCTCTTGCAGGGTTGGGGTAGGAGACGTTAAATTCCCAGACACAAGATTACCATGCGATGGATGTCCTCCCCTGGGTTGGGTTGGGTGGGAAGGTGGACTAGTTCGAATGGTTTGTATGTTTCATTCTAGTCCTTCCCCACTGCAAATTAAGGCAGTGAAAATGGAATAAATTAAAATCAATCCAGATTTTTAAAATAAACAATTTATGAAAAATATACATAGTATAAATAGTTTGCAATGCTAGACATTTTTGGTCCTTCCCGTATCATCAATAACAGCCTGCTGATATCTATGAAGGCAACTTCTTGTATAAATGCAACCAGGAATTCTAAACTCTGACCTCCCCTCTAAAAAATGTTAGCCTTACCCCATGCAGAGAGGGGTTACTCTGGAAAAGGAGTTCTTCTGTATCAATGATAAAGAAAAAGATGAAATTCTAAGCCCTGGAATATTATAACGTGTCCACTTGTTTAACATACACTTCAATGACATTCTGCAKATCAGTTCAGGCACGCCTCTAAACTTCCGTGACTTAGAAAGTATTAACAAATAAACAAAACTTTGCACATCGGTTCTCTACAGAAGTAGTGCTGTTCTCATTTATCCTTGGTTTAAACTTGCCTTCCTTTGTAGTTACGCCAGCTGTCTAAATCAAATGGAAAATCATTCCATGCAAGGATAAAAGTAAATATGACTTCATCGTATCGTCATATTGATGGTGGGCGGCAACTTTAGTCAAATTAAATTAATACATTCCAAAAGCTTTTACCTTTCATTTTATATCGCACATAAACTGAAATAATGATCAGATTTCCAAATTCGTCTCACCTAATTTTAAAGTAAATCGATTATGTGTTCAAACTACTGGGTAATTGTATCTATAGTATACAAAAACGATGAAACACTAAACACATTTCCGGTGCCTAGAACGAACTTCTCAGCCAACAACTCAAAACATTGCCAGGTATGGAAATATCCATCGCCTCACAGTTAATTTCCACCATGCAAAAGATTCCTACGTGGCAGATTATAATAAGCAAACACTGGATCTAAAGTTTCTGGTATAGATTTTTGAAACAGCTTGAGCTTAAAAAAGTTTCAGAATAAAAAATGTTGATTCGCGAATCCAAACCTTTCTCGCACTAGCTGGTGCTGCCAACATCATTTGCCATATGTTTACTGCGATCGTATTTAACTCCGGATAAAAATCAAAACATTTCATTGGGCAGCATGAGGCGTTAAATGATGCAGACTCACCTGAGCTAACAAATACAATGAAGATAACAAAGGAGCAGAAACAAATTTTTCGTAACCAAACGTCCATATTTGCACGAAGCTCGTGAAACCTAAGATGCATTTCGCGCGCGTTTGTCACGCTAGCTCCGCGCAACTTATCTTATGTGCGAAAAAATTCTTACGTAGGGTAGCATGGGGGATTTGTTTGTCAAGTTGCTAAAAATAATTTTTGTATATTTGTAATTATTATATCAGAAGACCAAAAGATTACACAACAAAAGCACGATAGGAGAAAATTTTTTTAGTAAACTTCGTGGAACATGATTTTATGATAGGAGAAGTGGCTTTCCCGTACCCCTCTCTGGGAGGACTGATTTGAGAGTGACGGGCTTGTGTTTTTTGACTGATGGTTTCTTTTCAAAAATTCCAAAGCCCTTTTTCCATTTAATAAGTGGTGAAACTACTGCCGAGTTCTCTATCATTGCAGTTCTTGTTAATTTGCGTATGTTTAGAAAGAAATCGGAAGTGGGGAAAGTAACGAAAGGATTACGTGACATCTCTTAACTCCATATTTGGCTTGAAGTGTAAGCGAGGTTTACCTGGGTCTAGCTCTCGTCCGAGAAAGTTTGCACAAATATTGCCGATAGCTTAAAATTTATCAACAAATTATTCCGACGAAAGCGAACGATCACTTCTCCTTTATCAATCTCGTCTCAAGACATGGCATACTGAATGAGATAATCTCGCCATATTCTTTTGGGTGTTAATTTTTCGTGGAGTAAACATTCGACCAACAGGACAGTGGGAGCAAGAAGAAGATAAATTGTCAAAATTATGGCGAGGAAGTCTTTTATCACTTGATTGGTTCAACACCATAATTATAGGATATGGATCTTAACTCGAAGGTAGAATTTTTGAAATTTCATCAAGGATATGTACGAGGAGTGGCATTTTCGCCTGTGGTAAGAATTTAACTCAACTATTTGCTACTTATTGATAGTTAATGTGTGATGGTAGCATGCGCTTTACGATTGTTCAGTACAATCGTTGCTTATGACATACAGGAGTTCAATTCGGTATTTTGTCGTTATTTGAATACATAAGAAGTTGACACGTGTATGAGACAAAAAAAAATCTCTGTTTCCACTGAAGATTCGAAGCCTAAACTAATTTTTGATTGTAGATTACACCGTACGCCATACTTTGTTTTAGTTAATATGTCCTTTATTTTGCCTGACATGTTGGAAAAGACAACTTGAAGGTACAGATCAAATTAACACGTTTTGTTCTTCAGGATCGTTACTTATTTTGCTCTGGTGCGTATGATGGAAAAGTTAACGTCTACAGTGCAAAGAAATGCCATCTTTTGGGAAGTTATCCAGTGAGTATTTACAAAATAGACGCTGTTGATGATAATCATATGATTTTGGTTTTATTTGGTTCTTTCACTCCTACTTCAAGATCTTTCTCTTTAATGAAAACCAAAATTGATTACATATTTTATCTGAAATAATCCTCATAGAAAGAGAGCATGTGGTTGAACAGTACACTCTGAAAATTTTTAGGTCGATGGAACTCGTGTCATTGGAGAAAAAACAGTGTTTGCTATTTTAAGCCAAGAACTGATTAAAAATGAAATTCTCGTTACTTTATCAATACTATTTAGAGCAAGGAGGTTATGAGAAGGAAGAAAAATATCAACAAGGAAATACTGTTTGACTTAACCTGAAATTCTCAGAGCTAAAATTGAAAGAAACTTATGACTTACATAAGAGAGAATTGATGTTTTGATTCTTAGATGGAAAGGGTAAGATGTAGCCCATATGTATAGACATTTACATGACTAGGGGTATGGCTTACAGTTATTGTCTTTTAAATGCAGGCATATAGCTCCCTTTAACCTAGCAAGCCTGGGCTTACAAACTTTTCTGGGAAATACTTGACTTCCCCGACCTTCCCAGGCTGCACTATACCTACAAGGTATGGAACTGGGTTATAAACCAAAAATGACTTCCTATGCCCCTGAAACAGCTTTTTTTCAATTGAAAAAAAGAACAGAAAAAATATTTTTTGCTATAGCAACAGCTGGTTAGCTGAAATGTGATAAGGATTGTAACAAGATGGTTTAACATTAGGGTGGCTTCAAGGTGGAGTTTTAATCACCATGTCAAAGAGAATTAATTTTAGAAGTTACACAATCAAAGCAACCTGAACTGCATGTGCTAACTACATCTAGGGTATTGTGAGCTGTGTCAGGCTGTTGGTATTGTCACAATGAGGTAGTGCTGTCCTTTTCCTCTATATTACAAATATTTGAGTATTTCATTTTTGGACTCCAGTTTGAGTAAGGTTATATTCAAAGACATTGAAAAACTGATCAAACTGTTAAATTGCCACATGTATACGTTGATGTGTAATTTACTCTAGCCGCAGTTGATGATAAAATAACAGAACACTATACCATGACAAAAACAATTGGGTCACATTTGAACTTAAATGTGTTTTGATGACGTTGTTGTATCACTTGATATCGCATTTCATTATCATTAAAAAATTGCAGGAAATAGATCTGGGTCATAAACACAAGCATTTTCTCAAGTACGAAGGCAATAGCTCTCTCTATGCCCTCCCCTCAAAAGATTCCTTTTGAAGTTAGATAATTATTTAAAAACTATGTAGTTAACAAAATAGATTCCAAAAAATTAATATTTTGCCAAAGATCCAGATGAAGTTAAAATGCAATAAGAACAAATCATTGGCATACGGGAGGCAGCCCAGTGTGTCACAAATGTTCTAGCTATACATTTGATGTCATGTGATGTAATTTTCTGCTACCTTTTCTTGTACAGACCCACAGCAACATGGAATTAGATGTATTTATATGATATAGAAGCAAAATTTTGTCAACGTTTTACACCCTGACGTCAGTGCAAATTGTCCATATTGATCTCTATTTGTACTTACAAGGAGAATTTGTTTACTTTAACAATCGAGAACTGAAGCACGTGGGAAGTTTGGAGAGCATGAAAGATGCATGAGAGTTGCTTGTGGTGCAGCAGAGAGTAAATCTAGCTTCTTGAGTGCTCTCCAAACTTCCCAATACTTCAATTGAGTGCATGCATGGCTGACACATAACCAATTGTTTTATAACATTTTCAATGCTGTAGCTTATGTATAAAAGGCAGAAATTCCCTCTTCTACACTTCATTGCATTGTTTATTATGTTTTGAAAAAGTATTTCACTATACTTCAATGATCTAGCCCCAAATTGGTCAAAAACTGACAGATGAATTTATGCATAATAATATTATGAAAATCAATTCCCAAAGAAAAAGTAGGCAGATCTTCATCGGCTTGTTTATTTGTTGCTATAATTATGTTTAATTTAACTTTTTGCAGAAGTTTTTCCTTGTTTTTCAATGAAAAATGTTGAAGTCACTCACAAGAAAAAATATTTTTTCACAAAGCATTTGTTTGATGACATTATCAGCGTGTGCAATGGGAAATTGAAGCACGCTCGCACAACTGAATTTGATTGCTGGAATTTACAAGCTATGTTATAAAATCAAGTTAGAGCTTCTTGACTTCATAATCATTTCCCTTAAGCTTATTCCCATGACTGTAGTGTTTCGTTCAGGGGTGACACTGCTTAATTGGAGAAATTGATTGCTTATCACTCTCAGGTGTGAGTGGTCCGAGTTTGAGCCCTGGCCATGGACATTGTGTTGTGTTCTTGGGAAAGGTGCTTTACTCTCACAGTGAGTGCCTCTCTTCACCCAGGAGTATAAAAATGGGTACTGGCAAATTTAATGCTGGGGGTATTTAAGTGTGCCCAAAATCCCCATCCCACCCCAGGGGAGGACATCCATCACACAGTAGAGTCGTGTGTGGGAAATTAACGTCTCCTGCCCCCAACTCTGCAGGAGACGGGACCTCCATTTATTTGTCCCTATCCGAGACTGAGACTAGAGTATCAAACCATTTCTTGATGTTATAGAAAGGTAGCAAATTCTTCTCAATTATTTTAAGACCTTGAGTGTTGGTCCAGCCAGGGCTCGAACCCTCAAACTCCTGCACAACAGTCTGGTGCTCTATCCATTGAGCTAACCAGGAGGCGGTAACCCTGTGATAGACTAGCATTCCATCCAGGGGGGAGTAGAAATACTCCTAGTCGCTTCATGCTACAGAAACCAGATTTAAGTGTCAGCTCAAATGGGCCATTTGTCTTGTAAACCATCTTGACCTATAGTTACCATCTTTGAATCTGTCCTCAAGTATAATTTATTATCATAAATGAGAACCAATCAAAACTCATGAAACGTAATTCAGCTTGTTATTTAGAATTCATAATACCTTTCCTTTTGCTTTACTAGAGGTTCTTAACAAGATGGTGGCTTTTATGGCTTACAGTTAAAATTTTGGCCATTTTACAGCTAATGGCATTGCATGATGATAGAAAAAATTTTTAAAGCTAAATTATTAACTTCTTTTACCACTAAAAATTTTTATGTCTAACTTAACAGCAAAATTTTTGGCAGTTTTATAGCTAACGGTTAACCCTATTAAAATTCCCCTTTCTATAGATCACACAATTTGGTTGAAAAAAAAAAAAAACCTGTTCGCTTTGTTAAATTCAAGATTCACTTTCAATTATACTCCTTTCCCAACTAATGAATCATCCTTTGAAAGTAACAGTTTCATTTTTTAGTTTCATTGTCAGTGTTTCTTTTGTTTTTCTCAGGTGACCACTCTGAGTCTTGCAAGGAACATTAAAGCTGTTAGATTTACAACTGATGGACATAAGGTAAGAAAAGATAACTTTTTTAAAAGAAAATTCTAAACATTCAAGGAGTGAACAAAACATGTTTTGTTCACTCCTTCAAGTGAAAGGTTGAAATTGTCTGAAGTAAGTCATGTTAGTTTTATTTTGACATTTTTGACTCAGTGGTACTTTTTTTGGTGTTGGTAACTGTAAATGTGCTTGAAGGAAAGCATAATTAAGAATGGAAAAAATATGGCATGGAATGGAAAATAAAAAACTTCAAATATTTAGACTAAAATCTGTTAAGATGCACAATCCATATATCATGAGATTCATGAGCATCTGGCAGGCTTATTGGATCTGAATGTTACTGAGTAGACTTAATTATTACATTTTCATGTATTTTAATTTATTATTAATTTTTACAATCTTTGTTCTGTAATATTTTAATCTGTCAGATCTTAGCATCGACAAATGCCAGAAGACTGGTTGTTATGGATGTGGAAACAGGGGAGCAAATCGTATCTTATGATAACTGTAAGTGTAATGCCTTCTCAGCTTTAGTTTTGTCATGCCACGTGATCTCTTTATACGGGTATTTTGGATTCGCACGTGGACTCCAGGTTGAACCGCTTTAGGACCGTGACAAAAATCTTTATGTAGCTAGAATTTAAGGAGGAACACGCTCGTGTTTTGTGTTGGAACCTAACAGTCTTTGATGGTCAGTATGGTTGGATTTTGATCGAACTGCTGTTGATCTTTAGTTCGTGTTTATCAAGTTATCGTCTATCAAGCCTTAAATAAATGGACCAGCCTGATTTTGTTAGACTTGTGGTTGCTTCACTACAGTTTTCTCGCATCTCTTTATTAATCAGTAAAGGCAGCCGCTACAGTAAGTTAAAAAGCAAGTGAGTTATTTTCCCACTGACAATACTTTGGCTAGGTGACAGAGCTAAATAATGTAAGTGCATACTCTTGGTTTTGCAGTGCAAAACGGATTGTTTTCTACACCATTTTTCTCTTACTGAACATTACCTCCAAAAACTTTGTACACCCCCTAAATTTTTTCAAAAATTAATTTTCTCCTTAAAAACTGCGGAAATAGGAAAATGCCTTTGAGGACAACAAATTGCCTCGATCGGTTTTAAATGTCAGCCCTTCTTATTTTTGTTTTCCACTAATTTTGGTAATTTTAGACCTCACACATTTGAGCCCGCATTGTTGACCACATACCCTCTGACCTAGCATTTCGTTATTCAGCCCTGTCAGGCTAGGCTGCATGTGATAGTCATCTTTTCTAGCAAACTTTACTTAACAAGTTGAAAGAAGTCAGAAACAATTTTACAATCACATATAAAGCTTGAAAGGTACCAAATGTAGCTTGTCAGCAGGCTGGCCCCAATGACCACTGCGGTTTCGGTATGAGCATTTCTTGGCCTGTGGGAAAGTATATTGTAAGAGACCTAGAGCAGCATGAACTGGCATGGGACTGCAAATGGTCAGTGGCGTTACATGTAGTGCCAGACCCCTGGCAAATCTCTCCCTATTGATTTTAAATGTTCGAGCATTATTTTGAGAAACATGCAACCTGCGATGTGAATGATAAACGCCTGCTTACAGCCTCCTTGCAGGGCTTCAACCTCAATTTTGAAAAGTCATTGTTTGATAAACTAGAGTCATGCATAATAGGATAGGCATTATTTTGGTGGAAAAAGAATAATTATGTTTTCAACTATGTGACGTACTTTTTGCAAAGGTATGCCTGATTGACTGTGTAACTTTAACTTTCAATCATGAAGTGCAGCTGCAATTAGCATGTCACAGCTTATGCACCAAACACCGGTCACCAAATTGGCTTCTTAAGCTGCAAAATCAAGAAAACATATTTCAACTAGCGGAAACTCCCAAAATTAATACAACCTGCTTGAGCAATTGACTCGTAGAACTCCATGAGTGAGAGGTTTTGCTCTCAGGTGTCAGCACTGCATATACTCATGTAATAAATTATATTTATTTATTTTTCTATTGATTTGTTTTAATTCACAAATTTAAACCGACTACACTGAGAAAGAGGTACTGCTTAATATTATTAATAATTATGTAAACTTAAGGTTTGAAGTTTTTTCCCAAAAATTTTAGTTGTTGTTTGCATTTCTGTTCATTTTTTCCCTCAGGTGTGTATAATGGTCCAGATCGAACTGGTTTAGCGGTGGATATCCAGGCAGGTCCTAACATTGCGGCATGCTGTTGTGTTAATGGACGTGGCTTGTCCATTTTTGACCTCAGAATGCCTCTGCCGTTGGATTTTATTTATGATGTAAGTTATTCTTTTCTAAGTACCACCCTTCTTGACAACAGAAGAAAAACCCAAAATTTTGTTAGACACAAAATAAATGAAACTATATACTAGGCATTTGGTTGGTTTTTGCTTTCTTGGAAGTCCCATGCCTGTGTTGACCTCAGCTGGATGTGGTCAGACAGACCAGTAACAGTATTCCTTGTGTATCCATTAGATATTTAGAATATTAATAGATCAATTAATTGATAACTAATAACAGTTGTTATTAATAATAATTATCAATAATTTATTATTAATAATTGATATTAATGATTTATTATTAATAATTGGTATTAATAATTAATACCATCAGCATTAGATATTTAGAAGGTGTGTAAAAGTAAGCATAAGCTGAGTTTTGATTCATTATCAAATTTTCCATATATATGGGCCACTGCTGGTGACTTCAAGCTACAGGAAATGGGCTAAGCTCTTAATCAGCATGCAGTACCAGTAATGGGCAACAAGGCTGCAATTAGACCTAACCCAATTTGCTTTCAAATATTTTTAATTTGGATCAAGATACATGGATATTTGTTTTAGTAATCAGTACACACGTTTTGCATGAATTGGGCAATGAAATATTTATCCCTTCTCTTTTTAGCTTCATAATAATGTCATTCGTGATGTGATGTTTCTTCATGAGAGCTGGCCATGGTGCAAAGGACAAAATGCCCTGTTATCAGTTGCTATTGATGGCACTGCAAAGGTACTAGAACTCAAATGCAGCCTGGAAATACTTGACTAGTTTGTGCTGAGAAAGACCTCCCATCTCTAGCTGGGGCTTTCTGGTAGTATTGTTAGGCACAGTCATGTCTTTATTAAGGCCGGGTTGTTTAAGGTACCTTTATTGTTCCTCTTGATGCAATGTATTTTCAAATTTCCATGACTTGTGCAATAGACCAAAACCATACAGCATTCAGTTGGATTTATTTAGAAGTGTGAAATTTCTCTTTGTTGTTTAATTTTGCAGAAGAAACTAGTAAACTGTTTGGTTGGGGAGAAAAAAACTATGAATTTCTATTGGGATGTTTTTGAATATGTATGTGCATATAGCAGTATTGATCTTGTAATGAATACTAGAAATAGTGAATTTTCTAAAATACTAAGAATAATTTGATTCCCCTATTCTTCCTTTAATCATTTTTATTATGATTGGCAGTAACATCGCAATCTGATTGGCCAATCTGTGATTGGTGATAAAAGTACAAACAATGTTGCTATGTCACAGCAATGTGTCATGCAGCCGTCACACATTGAAAGAGTTGTAAGTTTTGGTAGACACTGTTATCATGGTAAAAACCAAATCAAGAGTGGTCTAGCAATTTTTTAAGCCAGTACTGACTTATCTATAATCACGATGTTTATCATCAGAGTTGTCAAAATTTGTTGTGGACTCACATGATAGCTGGTAGTGGTTGGTGAGACCACCGACTATACTAAACCACTGTTTATTTGTTAATTCTTCAGGTGTCAACAATAGATGGACGCACTCTACAAAGTACTGAGATAGGCTCCATGTTGAACACAGCTGCCCCCACACCAGAACCCTTTGGTTCAATGGCTGATGATGGATTCTATAGTAAGACAGTTTCTTGCTGCTTTACATCTTTTACCACAGGAGGGCCAACCTTCAGTTCATCAGATCTAAATGTCATTTTCTCCCAAGGGATGTTAATATTATTTCTCTGTTGATTGGTTCAGAGAATTTGGTGTTATTTCCACACAACATTTCCCTGGTTCGTAAGCAGATTTTAGTGTGCTTCCATTGGAAGTGTACCTGCGTTTTGGAAGCGTACCAGCATTTTGTCAAAATTCTGATAATTAATTTTCCCTCACCTAAAGGCTTGGGAAATTATCAGAATTTTGACAAAGCGCGCATGAAATTATTTCCTAATTTCACTCATCGCCATTTGATTACACAATAATTTTAAGGTCTGTCAACTGGTGATGGAAGGTTTTTTTTTTTTTTGTTCACATGTGGTCTTCATAAGATCATTTTTATTTGTAATTAGGAACTGAAGGGGTGTTAATGATAAAGCTGTAAGAAATTTTGATAGACTGGTGGATTCCCTCTCTAAATTTTCCCCTATATCCTGGTCTGTGAAAGACTGTACTGTCATGGAGCAGATTTTGATTGTGCATCACAAGCTTTTTAAAAAGCCAATCATACCTGTCTTTCAAAGCTGACTATACACTTTCCCTACAGCAAGAAATATTCATTACTTCTAAGATTATTCTGTATATTATATGTTTCAGATTTATTTTTTATTTGTAAAATTATTTCTGGATTTAGGTCTTATCATGTTTGGTGGTGAGTTTCTGACAAGTTTTGTCCCAGAGGTTGGAATCCAAGAGCGTATGCGAGAGCATGGAAAAGATGCACTATGGAAAATTAAGTATGAGTTGAAACAATTTGTATTGGTATACTTTTAAATTTGTTGAACTGTGTATGTTTGTTGTGCTGTATGTAGATTATGATTATTATTTAATTTAGTTAATAAAAAATATGGATTAAGACACGAGAAGACACCAGCTTTACTGTTTAATAACACTTTCACTTCCAAAGATCTCATTGGGGTCAGGTCTTTGTGTATGACTTGTGTATAAGTTGAGGGTGACTCTTGTGGGCTGATTTTTTGGTCTTAAATTCAAGGTCAACTTATACATGAGTAACACAGTTAATTATAGTTATTTGTATTTGATATTTAGTTTTAACTGAACAAGCTGCACTAAATTCATTATTTCCAACCTGTATTATTGTGATTTATATTTTTCAGGTACACTTCCAATGGAAGCACACTTTTCACTGCCTGTGATGGAGGAGTGATTAGAAAGTAAGGCTTCACATAATTATAGTTCAGTTACTACATTAAATTTTTGCTGTTATATTTTTTACCTTTATTTTTACCTTTATTTTTAGTAGGTATAGTGGTTGGGGGAGGGGTGGGAGGGTGGTTGTTCAAGAGTTACCGCAGTAGTTTGCTTAACTTCTATGTCAAGAATCTGACTGGGACGTCAAATTGTGTTGTGTTCCTTGGCAAGACACTTGACACTTGTAGAATATTCAAATTTTAACAATCTGTTGTTGTTCTTGTAGTTCGCGGTTCGCTCAATCATTCGAGACAGAATAAAGGCTCGTTTCCAAAAAAACAACATTTAATAACAATAACATTACCATGCCATCTTAAAGGCGTGCTCATTCTTTTTTTTTTTTCTAACCACAATACATTGCGAACATAATCGTGACGCGATGTCACGACATGTGTAATGACATCCGGGTCAGACACTCTCAGTGCTTGTACCTCTGTCCACCCGGGATTATGACAATGGTCCAGTGAACTATTAGGGTTAACAATTTGGCTTCAATTCGTTGTTCACATCACTCTTTGTGCTATTTACACCTTTTTGTATTCCCCCTTTGAGATTATAGTTGTTGCATGTGTCCATCTGGGGTGGCTATGAGTGGTCAGCACACTCTCCCCCAGTTCAAAGGTCACAGGTTAAAGCCTGGCTGCATTGTTGTGTTGTGTGCTCCACTCCAGGAAGACTTTTTACTTTCACAGTGCTTGGACTCAGGAGTTTAACTAATGAACTGTCAGGGAAACTTGAGGATATAAATTATTCTGAGAGGGGGGAGGGGAGGTACGGCATTCAGGCATTCTCTTCAGTCACAATTATATCCTTAGTCATTAATTTTCATGCTCAAGGATTTGTTCTGCCGTCACAGAGAGAAGGGTTGTGAACAGACTTAATTTTCACCTTCAGGAAAATTGGGTAATCTCACTTGGTTGTCTGTCTAATTTTCTGAAGTATAATTATACTGTAACAATGACTGTTACTGACAGTACTGCAAACTGATATGTATTTTGTAGATACAGAAGATTCCCTGATCACCACGAGTTTGTAGAGGACCTCTTCTGCCATTCAGATGATGTAGAAGATATTGACATTTCACCTTACGATGAATGTATCCTTATGTTGTTTTTTTGAAGATGCATGACATAATTGTCTACCCTTTGCATTAATTTTGTTTCAGTTCATTTTCCAAGTTGTTTAAATATTTTTTTAATGGAGATCAGAGAGTTTGCTGGCTACAACATAGCCAAGCTAAATTTCGATTGTACAGGTTATTTTTCTGTACACATGTGAAGAGTATTTGGCAGGTTATGACAAAACACTGATCCCCATTCAATT